ATCTTGTGCCTCTCGGATGTCAAGAATTCCGTTGGACGCGGGGAGTCGACGAGGAATGCGACGCAGAGTCAAATTAAGTCGGTTTGTCTATTCCATTCGTAGATGGCTTGAAATTATGCAATTTGACGAGTAATTCTTTTAATTAGTTCGTGAGATTGGAGTATTTTTCACTTATTATCTGCACTGCGTTGGGCTAGAACAGCTGCATGCAACGAGTTAACAATAATTGAGCCATTAATCGATTTTTCAATTCATATTTTTCCAGTTTACTTTGTACCACGTGTTTGTTTTCTCAAGGCACGTTTAAATACGTGGTTGAATGGAATGAGTTGTTTCACATGCGAGTGGAATAGGTGGATTCGAATGCATAGGAAATTCATTGCAATATTTGGGAATATCCAAGTGTCTCTCATTACTCCGAATGGGCGAAGCCAATTTTTTTATTGAATGCGGTTGATTTTGTGAAGAAGCATTTTTTCAACATTTTGTTGTGATAATTTGGTGATTGATAATCAATTAATTTTTATATCTGATGAATAATCAATGCAAAGTGTATCATGACCCCTAGAAACCATTTGATAACGTTTAATATGTTGAAATGAATTTAGATAAAAGTGTTGAAAAGCATTTGAAGGAAAATAATTGACGAAATATTTTCGGCGATCCACTTAACGACCAGTTAGATAAAAATTCTGCATTTTGTGGGATTGTAACATATTCTATGTTTAATCTATTGTCCAAGACAGGGTAACGGGTGGGAAGTTAAGGATCGACTGATTCACGCCGCATACCGAGAGGCCAGGAGTCTCTCATCGCCGAGCGTAAATATTGATTCGCCTACGATTAGATTCAGTGAGTTGATTTTCCTCGGCACTTTTCATCATAAACACAAATCACACCTTCGTGATCAGTAATAATCAGTCTTAATTTAGCATTAATGGGTTCGGGAGGAATTATTAACCGGAGGGAGGTCTAGAAATTTCTTATGACGTTTTTGAAGGAACGAGTATGTGACCAAAATTGTGGTCAATGATTTTACTATAAAAATAATGGGAGTAATATGTAAAAATGAATTTAAGTGCACGGAGAGAAATATTCAGCAAAAATTACGGAACTCTCACTTCACTCACCGATTACGGAATCGACTCAGAAAATTTAAGTGACGGTATCGTAATTTTTCACAAGACGTTCAGATAAAAATTACGGAACGCTTCGTAAAATTTCCTGCAACCACATTTCCCTCCGGAATTACGGAAAAGATATGTAATTTTTATTGAATATTTCTCTCCGTGTGGAAGTGTTGAAAAGCATTTGAAGGAAAATGATGAAATATTTTCTTCGATCCACTTAACGATCAGTTAGATAAAAATTCTGCATGTCATGGGATTGTAACATATTCCATTTTCAATGTTTTATCGTCCAAGAAAGGGTAATGGGTGGGAAGTTAAGGATCGACTGATTCACGCTACATACCGAGAGGCCAGGAGTCTCTCATCGCCGAGTGTAAATATTGATTCGCTTGCGATTAGATTCAGTGGGTTGATTTTTCTTGGCACTTTTCATCGTAAACACGAATCGCAACTTCGTGATCCGTAATAATAATCAGTCTTAATTGATCATCAATGATTCCGGGAGGAGTTATCAACCGAAGGGAGGACTAGAAACTTCTTATAATATTTTTGAAAGAACAAGTATGTGACTAAAATTGTGATCAACGATTCTATTATAAAACGAATGAAATTATTAAGTTAAAATGAATTTAATTCAATTCGTACAGTTGTAAAATACAGAAATTATGCTTTAGGTTAAATTGATCAGAATTACTCTGCACTATCTTGTATTACTTTTACGCTTGCGATGGGGCAATGTATCCTCCATGCAATAAAATTTATTATTACTATTATTATAATAAAATGAATTAAAGTGGAAGTGTTGAAAAGCATTTGAAGGAAAATGATGAAATATTTTCTTCGATCCACTTAACGATCAGTTAGATAAAAATTCTGCATGTCATGGGATTGTAACATATTCCATTTTCAATGTTTTATCGTCCCAGAAAGGGTAACGGGTGGGAAGTTAAGGATCAACTGATTCACGCTGCATACCGAGAGGCCAAGAGCCTCTCATCCCCGAGTGTAAATATTGATTCGCTAGCGATTAGATACAGTGGGTTGATTTTCCTTGGCACTTTTCATCGTAAACACGAATCACAACTTCGTGATCAGTAATAATAATCAGTCTTAATTTATCATTAATGATTTCGGGAGGTTTATTATATCAGAAGCGTGATTAATGTGAGTGATTACTCAGTAGTTAGTTTTCGGCGAGGGGGAGGCACGAGGGAATAGCGGAGTAGGGGTGATTTATTTTTGATAAAAATAGAAAATAGTTTTTGTTCCAGGGTCAGTGAATATCAGGGGGGGAAATATGATATTCGAAATTGGAAGTATTACGTGAGCGTCACGCAACTGAAATGAGAGTCGACTGCGTAATTTGGAGGGATTCATGTAATTGGAATGTTCGTCAAAGGTCGAATGATTGGGGTTAGTTAGGATGAACTGTTGAATAAATGTTAATTGCATTTCTGAATTAATTGACTGTTTGAGGTGTATTTCAGATTGAATTGTGGATTCATTTTTTTTTCGTTGACAAATGTGAGAAAATCCAGTTTTATTCGATTTTTAATCGAAAATAATTTGAAGTTCCATCGAATTTCTCAGTATTTTCATTTTTATAGTGATTAAAATTAAGATATTCTTTTCAAAAAATTCATTGAAACCTCGGAGAAATCCGTTGTTACAGAATACTCCCTCAATTTTAAATAAAATTCGCGTTAACGTTCTGCGTCAGTATATCCTACGAAGCTATCCCCCAAAGCCCTCGAATATCCAATTGCAACAAAAAAAATGCCACCCCAACAATCGCATACACCTCCAGTTTTCCAATGCAACAATTCATTCCCTCACAATGCCATACATCCACTAGTCAGTGGGAAGTAATTTAGCCAAATTTGACACATGCAAGTGCGATCGATCCTGCGGTATGAATTATAGACGATACGTGACCCACAGCACGGAAAAGGGTGTCTCTAAACAGTGTGACTCAGTGTGAATAATGAATGACGACAAATGGTAAATAAGAAAATAACTCAATTCAAGTCGTCTTAATTAATCTATTTTCCCTCACACCTCACGCGGAAAATCGAAACTTCAACTTCATGTGCTGTAGCAATGATCAATGAAGCGTATTCACGTGCTGTGTCACGAGATGTGTCTGGAAGGATAATTTTCCCTATTATGGAGATCACTGTGCTGAATTTAAAGTTAGACCAGCGAAATTTTATTTGAGAATTTTGTTATTTCGTGAAATTACATTTAAAAATCTAGGATAAAATTCTAGAATAGATTGGACTTGTTTTAAGTAGGATGACAATAGCTGAATCAATCGGGATTTTGGACTTGGCGTGAATAGAAAATTGGATTGTTCAAAGAAGAAACGTCTTAAAATTCAGAGTTGAATCTAGCTGAAGAATGATTGATTCAAGTTGACAAATACTTGATCCAAGTCAAATTGATACTTGATTCAAGTCAAAGTGATGCTTGACTTAAAAAATCCACATTTTAGTGATCAAGTACACAAAAAAATAACTCTCTCATAAGGATTATTCCCTGACTTGAATCAAGTATCAATTCAACTCGAATCGAGACGCAGTATCTGCAATAATAGCTCCATAATTCAAGTAGTTTTAGGCTTGAGTCTAGTTTATATTCTACTTGCTTCAAGCAGGATGACTACAACTTGCTGTGAGTAGAAAATTGGATTATTTTAAGAAAAATACCCCAAGTCGTCGTCTACTTAATTCAAGTAAAATCTAACGGATTGATTCATTCCGAGAAATCTACCTGTTTCAAGCAATATCTAACGACTTCATTCAAGTCGAAAATGTTTGACTCAAGCCGACAAATACTTGATCCAAGTTGAATTGATACTTGATTCCAAAAAATCAGATTCAGATACAACTAAAATAAAAAACTACCCTTTCATAAGGGTCACGTATCCCCCCGACTTGAATCAAATATCATTCAACTTGAGTCAAGTAGAACGGAACTTACCTCTAGTCGCTGAATCTACTTGAATTAAGCCACATTTGACACGAATTAAGTTGCTATGCCGGCACATAGATCCCGACTTAATTTATGTATTTTTTCTACTCGATTCCAGTAGTAAGACCATAATTCAATCCCTCCGCGTTTTGAATTAATTTCGTGCATAAAAAAAATTGTTTTATGGACACTGGTGTGAATCCACAATCTGTTTAATTCAACTAGGAAAGATACTTGATTTAAGTATCTCTCTACTTGATTAAAGTCGAGCTTTACTTGAATCTAGTCGTCAACAACTCGATGAAATCTACTTGAAACGACTTGATTTAATCCTACTGAGATCAAGTAGAGGGTTTGGATTGAATCCAGCATTTCTTTGCAACTTTTGTGATACCTCAGAAACTGCGAAAGGTATCACAAAAGCTACCTACCAAGCGCCAGAGAAAATGACTTATAAATCGTCAGGGACTGAAATAATTCTCGCAACAAAATCCAATCAATTTTTCCTAAAACCGGACAACGAGATAATTCAGAGAATCCTTCTGATTCCTCACAACCAATCCTTGATCATTTCCCTAGTACTTCCATAACGAGAAGAAATACTATACCCCACATATCAATTTTTTCCCGCAAACATACCAACAAAAAATATCATTGACAAAAACCATTTCCTCAATTCCGTCCGAGCGAAAAAAAAAATTCTCCGCGTGCCTTCAACACTCATAAATTGCGACTAATTGGATCAACATCGAGTCTAATAATCCTCAAAAACCCGGAATTCCCACGTCACCTAAAAATTCAAGGTCGCACGGCGTTCCCACTTGAATAATCCGCAGACGCCTGAGTGCATCTAGGTCACTATCATGAAAAAAAAAAAAAAGTCAAATAATTCATTACCTCCCGTCGCCTTCGTCCGCACCATGCCGGTGGGGGCATGGGTCCTGCCTCGGTCTGAGGACAGGGGTCAGCCCCCATTTCTCGATGAACTCGATGCGGGAAATCTTGGCGTTTCGCGGCGGTTACGAGAGGGGGCGACTCCCCCTCCCGAGCCCCATGCCCCCGTGCGCCGCACCCCCGCAACCCACTGCAATCGGCTGACCGCCCTTGCCCCACCGACACCCGCACCAGCACCAGGAGCCCACAGCCACCAAAATGGCTGCTTCTTCCAGGGGCCTAGTAATTCCAAATATCCTTGCGTCAACTTGTTATCACTTTTTCCTACCAAAAACACCCACAATTGACAATTTTCTCCATTAATAATCTTACTTCTCAAATTGAGTTATCTCTCACGATAAATTCATGGTAAATCCGTATCACCCATCGGCACGCCTCGATCACGCTGTCCGCGCGACACCATCACCACTATCACCAAAATTTATCACTAAAGCCCCCCCCAATTTCAACTACAACACAACGATAAAAAAAGGGTTAAAAAACGCATACGAAAACACGACGAACGACTGTGGCGACAACGAGAAACGAGGATACAAACTACCACCAGAGGCGCCCAATGACAATGATTCCTCTCGTTGTCGTCCAACCCGTTGGAGAGGGGGGCTGGAGAGGGTAGGGATAGAGAGAGAGAGAGAGAGAGAAATTTTTGAGACCCCAACGACTTCACCTTGCCTTTCTACCACCCCACACCGGATTATGGATCGACGAGGCTTTTTCGGGGGGGTTGCAGAGAGATAGACCGGGAGAGAGAGAAGGAAGGAATGAAGAAGGAATGGTACGACGTCGAGCGGCGATGTATTAAACTACCCCGAAACGGCCACTTTCACCGGATACCTCTGCACTACCACCACCAGCCCCAAAAATCCCCCCTCCCCCCGGAATCTGGCGTTATGCACGGATGCGCCTTGCGAGCCCTCCAGATAACCGCGATAACGTCCTGGCTCCTGCCGAACTCCCGTAGAAAAGCCGCCCGGAATTAAAAATCTTTGGTATCAAACGAACGAAAAAAGAAAACAACAACAACAAAACTAGTGTCACTGTGTCACGCCGCGGGTCGTGACGACGACTCCCAACGTCCCTCTAGGTGTATCCATCTCACCACTGTAGTACCATACGCCCTCTTCTCCCTCTCTGTCTCTTGCGCACTGTCGATCACTTTTCGTGAAAATTCTGGTGTTTTAATTGGGCTCACATCACCATCGAGACATTCCCGATGAACGTGTCTGTCAAGTTTTTCTGTCACCTCATTACGCAGATCACCATCCCTAACACCCGGTAGCAACGAGTGTCTTCGCTAGTTCGTACCTTCACTCGGAAAAGTGGATGATAAACAGAGCGATGGGATTTCAGGGATGCGAAAACACACGATTGTCGCGCCGTAACAGCAGCCACTGCAACATTCGTGTGCCTCTTATCGTCAACCAGTTGTACAATAGTCTCACGCATAGACCGTTATCATCACGAGTTATTGATTCGCTGCACTTTGATGTGACGAATTAGTTTCGTTCGCGATTTATCGCGAGGGAGATGTGAACGAATGCCAATGCACGACGGTTAAACGGAGTGAGTGTAAGCTCCGAAGCTTTGGATGGAGCTTTGCAAGGCCGCGGTGCGGTACGGTGCGCTGGCCGCCTGCGTGCCTGCCAGCCTGCCTGCCTGTCAGCCTGAGCTGCGCGCAATCCACTCTACGACACCCCTTTGCCCCTCCTTCGATACCGCCACCTGCCTCTACCCGCCGCTCTATCATCCTCATGGCTCCCTCTTCCGTCTCTTCTGCTCCCCACCGCCGACGCTCACCCACTCGTGTTGTGCTCGCGTTCTCTTTCTCCGTCGGGGCTTCTCTTTTCAATGGTTCTCTCCAATACACACGCTCCTGGCTCACTGCTCCGCTGAGGTCCTAACCTCTTCATGCCATTTTTACACTCTCAAAACTCTTACGTGACCGCTTATTCGGCTATTTCCGAGCGTTTCGATATTTTTTGGAGGATATTTTTGATTTCTTGAGGCGGTGGGGGGCGGTATGGGAGTCTATGGGGGCTTCACGTGACGACCTGAGTGGTCGCGTTGTTCAGTGATTGAATTTTAGAGGTGACGACGACATTTTAGATTATTTTACTTATTCGAGGGTGTCTTGAGGTAATTTGGTAGAGTCGTTGCGCGAATGCTCGCTGTAGGATAAATTAATGGGCAATTTTTTTAGCGAAATGATAAGTTGTGATAGGAGACACAAGAGGAACTGTGAGTAGTCAAATTACCCCTTGATAAGGGGCGGATTTATCAGTCAAAATGTTGGGAATTGCAATTCTTTTTGGAATGTAATTGAAATCGCATTGAATTGTATAATGGCGAATAAAAGTGGAAGATTTGCTGACTTCGGAGGGGATTTAGGAGGAAATGAGTCATGAAATAGGAAATTTTCAGTTGAAGGTGAATATTTAGCATTGAATGGAGCTGAATTTTCAAATAATTAAAAATTTAAGAATGCAGTCATCTAAATTTCTCTAATTTTCACGACTGTTTCACTGAAAGTTATATATTTTTCTATTTTCTTTCACAGTATACATAACATTAATCCATAAATCTATGAAATAATTCATCTATAACAACATGTGAAAACAGAAACTTACAATGTAACAAAAATCAGAAAATTAAGGCAGGAGTTTCATTTACTCCAATTGAATATCTGAATTAGAAAGAATTTTTGGAAATTAGACTGACGATAACTCTGTAGATAGAGCTATCTTCTTTCCAATTTTGAAGATTAAATTCACAGAATATGTGAATTTTCGGAGACAAGATCGCCTTAAATTGTGAAAATATAATTTACTGAAAATTCTTAAAACCGAAAATAATTGAGGTCTTAATCTCCATCTGAATCGAGTCGAATTTGACTTCCCCCCGAACAATTTCAGTCGTCACATGAGCGATAAGGGGAAAAGGTAAGTCGTTGTCAGACTCTGGCGATTACGTAAAAACGAATTATGCAGAATGATGTGCCTCGGGGAGATGTAAAAAGATGATCTCGTAGTGATCTTCAGAAAAGTGGCATTGAATACAATAAGTTTCAGAATATACTTGAATTTTCAATTAAATATGAATATCCATTAGCCAAATTCAAAATTAAAGATTTCAGTAAAGAAAAATCACTTGAATTGTTTTTATTTTTTTCTGATTTTTAAATGAATAATTGATCCAGAATTGATAAATTTTCCAAATTCTCTGACTCGCTTGTATTTTATTCCGATTTTTCAATAAATAATTGATTTGGAATTCAAAAATTTTCAAAATTCTCCGATATTTGGACGATAAAATCAATAAAATATGTGAATTGTCCATCTCAAGATCTCCCGAACTTGTGAAAATATCATTCGCTGAAAATTCTCAAAACCAAAACTTCTTCAATAATCAAAATCTCGATTCTTCCTTTGAATCGAGACGAATTTCACTGGTCCCAAGAGACACAAGGGGAAGAGGTAAGTCATTGTCAGACCCTGGCGATTACGTAAGAAACGAATAATGCGGAATGATGTGCCTCGGGGAGATGCGAAAAGCTGGGAAGACGTGAGGTATGTGACGCTGGAAGCTTCACTATTCAAGTGAGACGGAGACCGGAGGAAAAATCACGAAATCTGGAGGGGGTAAATCTTAATAGGCACTCATCTTTTTGAAGTGTAATGCGCCGAAGCGCACAAGGGTGGAGTCGTTTCTCGTCGTTCGACGGGAAAAACGTGACGATCGCTCTCAGAGCTCATGTGTGTGGGTGTGTGACGTTTGAAAAATGAGGGGGGGGGTGTAGCCGGAAGAGAAACAGGGTGTGAAAGCACAAAGAGGTGCACACACAGGTAGAGACGATGACGCTGGTCATGCTGTGGATCGATGGTGATTTTTTTTTTCGTGGAGTAATGATTTTCCCGCCCGCACTTTTGACACGGGGTTACGCTAATTAATCCTGGGGAGAGTGCAGTCATCCAATTAGGATCCGGAGAATGAATGAAAAATAATTCCAAGGTGAGGAGACGACGGGGAGGATAAATGAAATGCTGGGATTTTTTTTTTGTTTTTGTCTCATTTGCTCGGGTAACACCGGGCCTCACGGTGTTACGGCACAACGCTGGCGGTTCAGGCGGCTCATGACGTCGTGCATTTTCGTGAACGCTCGGTGTCATGCGCCACTCGTGCGCACTCGCGCATTCTACGGGGGGAGGGGGAGGGGTGGGAGCTTTTTGGGGAGCGCGCGCAGCAACGTGCTTTTAATGTTATATATGGGAGTGATGCAAGAGGAGAGGAAGTATAAGTGACTGAGGGATGGAATTAAAATTATGTATACGGTGGTAGAAATTTTCGACAGAATTTTCTGTGTCACATCCCGGCAATTTTTATCGTGTTTTATTTTCAGGGGAATCTCAGGACATCTCGTCATCGAAAAATTGAACGTTCTATTGGTTTTTTGTTCAATTACTCCGGGAAAATTGGGAAAATGAGGAAAATTCAGGGGAAAAGGGAAAATTCATGGCGTTTTGTTTCGGAATTTTCGTGTTCCATTGAAAATTCAATCGAGGTGTGAAATTTCCGTCACATTTTCACTGTAATCTCATGAATTTCTTCGAGTTCTAACTGAAACTTGAAATTTCATAACCATTTCATGACGAAATTCCACATTTTTGAACTGCCGACTGATGAGAATTCTTCAACTTATTTATGATTTCACCGAAAATTTAAATAAATTGAAGAATTCTCATTTCAATACCATTGAAAATTTTTAATTTCATTATTTTTTCTCCTTAAATTATATTCAATAACTCCTGCACTGTTAAAAATTTTCGTCTAAATTTTCTATGTCAAATCCTAAAAATTTATATCATGTTTAATTTCTACTGAAATTTCGGGAAATCTTGTCATTGAAAAACCTAATATTCCATCGATTTTCTGTTCGAATGATCCGAAAATGAATAAAATACTTGATTTTTCAGTTAAATTATTCTCTGAAAATTCGGAAAAATCAAGAAAATTCAGGGAAAAATTTAAAATTTCAATTAAGTTGACATCACAACTCAATCAACCCCCTCCCTCGCCGTTACAAATCGTCACAAATTACAGAACCTCCGCCCCTTCTCAATCGCGTGACGCAATATATGAATACCCAAAGGTTCTTATTTCAAGAAAAAACCAGTACACTGTTAGAAATTTCTTGACATTTTAGTCACAGAATCACCTGAATTTCCGATGTTGTGAGATTGAATTCAATTTCAAAAGGAAGCGTTCACAAAATTTTTCATTTACCTTAAAAATTCTAGAAAGTTGGGTTTTTCATGTTGAGTAATCATTGATTTTTAAATGAAAAAGCTTGAATTTACAAGCTCATCGTGA